CCTCAGGCCCATCCTAGAAACCCCCCCGACGGCCCGGCCGCACCTGCAGCAGCTCGAGCACGGCGACGGGCTGCAGGACGCCCTGGTAGTGCTGCAGCAGGCAGGTCTCGGGAATGCCGGGCCTGGTCATGATGTGGTAGAGGACGGCCTCCATCATGCCCTTGCACACCGGCACGTTCAGGTGGCCGTCCACGATGCGCCACGGGCGGGCGACGAACGAGATGCCCTCGCAGTCCCTGCGGGGACGGCAGTCTGCTGTCGGGCTTGGCGGGCGAGGGGACAGGCTCGCTGACGCACGGACCCCCCGCTCCACAGATGGGACGCCGAGGCCCTTCCCACCTGGACGGAGGAGTCCCGGCCCCGGGGCCCAGGATCACCGGCTGAGGGGACCCGTTCCCCCTCAGCCTCAACCGAGGCCTCGATGAGCCCCCCGCCGGACCCCCACTGGCTGGGGACGGAAAAGAGCTTCGATTTCTGGATTCACCAGCTCCATCCCGGACCCTGAGGCAATGGCTGCCTGCACACTGGGCCAAGCTGGGGTCCTTATGCGGAAGCTCTACTTCCGTGTCATATCTGGCAGCCCCCCCCCCGCCCCCTATCCCCAGGACCGGTCTGCCGCGCGGGGTCCGGGCACAGGACAGGCCCGGCATCGGCTGGACACTTGGCTCTGCCCGCCCTGCCTGGGCCCTGGAAGGGCTGCATCTGAGCCGGGGGCGCTCGGCCCCGCCAAGCTGAGGGCCACGTACGCACTTGTGGGGGTGCCCCCCCACCAGAAAGGCCACGGTTCCAGATGGACCCACACTGCAGAAGCCCACACCTCGGGCCCTCGCCCACCGCACGCGACAAGCTCCTGCCTTGTGCCCCCAGCAAGCGGGACAACGTGCCATGAGTCTGCAGGTCCCCCCGCCGAGAACCACTGTGCCCGACCGTGAACCACCTCCACGTGATGATCGCTACGGGGACCCTGGGGCATACTCCCCACCGTCGCACCCACGCCCCGCCCAGGCCCCCCGAATCTGGGCACACACTCACTTTTCCCATGCTGCCTGGGACAGGCTGCCGGCCACAGAACTCTCTGCCGAACCTGACAGGAGAGGGAAAGGACAAGGGAGACTAAGGGGCGGAGTCCGCCTCTTCCTCCTCCCTCCGTGCGACACGCACCTGCGGGCTCCGGGGCTGAGGGAACAAAGCCGGCACACCCAGAACGAAGCCGGGTTGGGCCACGGCGTGCGAGTGTGAGGGGTGTTCCCAGGGCCCCGAGGAGCCCCCACAAGGGGAGCCAAGCGAGCCCCTCCCGCCCAGAAGCCCTGACCGCAGAGCTCTGTGCATAAACCCCAGGCAAAGACCTTCTGAAGCCCCGTGAAGAGGCCCGCGTTGAGCCCAGACAGGAGCGCTTTCGCCACGGGGGAGGTTTCAGTCCCCGTGCGTCAGCCGGTCCCGACGGAAAGCGAGACGCCTCCTATTTCAGGCACCGCTCCCTCGCACGGGACACCTTGGCACACACAGCCCTCCAGAAGCACCCCGGTGACCACGCTTAGGACCCCCACCCCCACTCAGGAGTCTGAAGCCCTCTAGTGGAAGCAGTAAGCGGACGCAGGCGAGACCTTTCTACGTGGAGACAGGAAAGGCTGGAGGCAACGGCCTTCTGTGGCCGGGGGCAGGTTCCCAGCGGCATGTGGGGACTGCTTGGACCCGAGGGCAGAGCATGGGCAGGTGGGGGAGGGTGGGCCGGCGACAAGGCTCGGTACCTCTGGGGTCTTCAGATCCCTCTGGAAGCTGGGCCTGACAGCTCAGCGGCTCCTGGCCTAGAGGGCTGGCTGCCCTCAGATTCTCTTGGAACTCTCGCCCGGCCTCCAGCGCCCCCGGGGGAGGCTCCTTCACGCCTGCGTCTCCGGGAGCTGCTGGCGGAGCAGGGGCCGGGGCTTCCGGCTCCTCTTCTGCTCTGGGCCTGGGGCTCAGGGCCAAGCGCACATCCTGGAGTGCGGGCCTCTTAGCGGGGGGCTTCTGGGGACTCTCCAGGTCGGTTTCCCCACCCTGATGGGCCACATCGCTGCTCGTCCAGCTGGCACGCCTCTTGGTGCTCCGGGGGCTCCGGGGGTCTTCTCTTTGAGCGTCCACATCCTCCTTTTTGCCTTTTAGCCGCACCGAGTGCAGGAGCCAGGGCTGGGCAGAGGCCATGGCCACCAGGCGAACAGTGTTGCCGCCGACCTCCACCACCTGGTGGTACTCCAAGAGGTCCTAGGAGAAGAGGGGGACACACTGGGTCTGTGGGGGACCCCACGATCCTCACGCCCGCTTCCCTTGCCCGATGTGTCTGAATGCCCTGAACAAACGGCAAGCCCAGTCCCTCCAGGACGGACAACTCGGGGCCCAGGTCTGCCTTCCGGCCCCAGGTGGGTGCCAGCTGGCCGTGTGGCCCTCTCTAGGCTTGGTGTGAACTTCGGGGAACCGAAGCTGTGCCCTTGATGCGGCCATCAAAGTGTCCTCCCAGGGGACTCAACACCCCGAGCTCTGTAAAGGCCATGACCGTTCCCACATGAATGACGGGAACGCCTCTCGTACTTATGCCAAGCCCTGCTTCCGAGGTCCTTGTTCTGATCTAGGCGCTGCACCAACGCTGGGTGGTCCTTCTTTTCATTTCCAGATTCGAAAACCCATAGGTCAGGGTTCAAGAAACTTGCCCCAGTTCACGTCCCGAAACCAGGTCAGGCAGGACTGGTGGGGAGGGTCATGCGGGCACTCGCCACCTGGGGCCCGGGGCTGGGCAGCAGGGAACACAGGGAGCCGCCTGACCCGTGTCGGTTTACCTCCTAGAGCTCCAGAGGCAGGAGTTATGTGAACAGTGAAACACCACGTGAATGGTTGTCACAACCCCTCTCTCCTGTCCTGTGCTCCTAAAAACTGGTTTGATAACCAGGAACACTGGTCTCTACTCTCCTGCCCCACCATGAACGCTGCAAGGCAGCCATCTCTGTGACATCACCAATAGCTGACGTGCATCCCACTGCTTCCAACTACGGACGACACACAGGAGGGCGAGCCAGGCCCCACGGCACTTGATTTAAGAGGTCCATCTGTTTTGACATTCTCTGGGTTCAAGGGTGCCTGATGAAACTGGGCCCAGGCAGGTAGAGGGGTGAGTACGCGGGGCCAGGGGCAGGAGCCCCAGGAGTCACGGCCGCGGACATGGCCCTACTTGGCTCTGTCCAACTGTGCTGTGTGGCTGAAGCAACGGGGCCCAGGCTGCCAGACCTTCTAACATCCCAAAGCTGGGTTTTAGGCAAAATCTCCTATTTTTAATCTTGGCAAGTAATTCCACCACGCATCCCAAGCCACGCCCACCCACTGTGTGCATCCGGCCCCCGAGCTGCAGCTGCCCCAGGTGACCCGAAAGCACGGCTCACCTGGACGTAGTCTGCGAAGGTCCTGGTGCGCTCGCCATCTGTCCCCTCGAAGGCGGAGAACCACCTGCTCAGCTCCACTCGGTCTACCCCGAAGCACCCCGTGGCTGCAATGGCCCCCTGGACCTCCAGGGCCGCGCACACGTCTCCAGGTTCATACCCGGACAGCTCCACCTGGTGGACAAACTCATCCAAGCTGCAGGGGCCCTCCTGGCTGTTGATCAGCCTGGTGAACGTGTCGGGGAGGCAGGATATTCCCACGGGGAGCTCTTCCAGAGATGTGACTGTGAAGACAGGGAGACCCGAATCAGCCCACACCGGAGCACGGGCTCCAACGCCAGCTCACTGCCCCCCGGACAGCAAGGGGTCACCCTCTGGCTGCACAGGGCACGGCCCCTGGCAGTCGGGCTCCCGACACGTGTCCCTTGATGTCCCTTGGGGCCAGGGTGTGAGAAATGCAGCCTCGGAGCCCCGGAGGGGGCCCTGCCTTGTCGGTGCTCCCATGTTCCCTGCTCCTCAGACCCCGGGAGACATCGCGGGCCCCCGCCCCCAACTCCCACGTGTGCTCTCGCAAGCGGGGCCGGTGTGCGTTCTTCCCGTAAAAGCTGTCTCTGCCACGACCACGGTCACACGGACCACGTTTTCGCCCAAGCCAAACTCCAGACAGAGCACAGAACACTAACTGGGGTTCTGACACTGAAAGTAAACACCGTGCAGCCCGACGGGGGAAGGCGAAGGAAAGGCGGAGGCAGGAAAGGGGTGGGAAGGGGCCCAAATGTGTTCACTTTCTGTGGGGGGAGAGGAAGAGACTGCCTCACGTTCAGGGTATGTGGGAACGGAAGGTTTAAGCAGGCTACTTAGAGCTTCAAATGTAATTAACAGAAGAGACAGAAAGAGTATAAAAAGTGTAAATGAGGGAGGTAACAGACAATGAATATCAGCCGAACACCCGACTGTCCTAGCAAGAGGTCAGAAGTGACACGTAAGCAGTTTGTGAAAGTATGTGATTTCAAGCGATGGAGGGAACCGGCAGTATGACAAGGCTGCGTGGCGAGTGGGCCAGGACACGGGGCCCAGGGGGCCACCTGAGGGTGTAGGCCTGCACGTGGGACTGAGGGAAAGGAACAGAAGACGGGGTCCGCTCTAACGCGGCCCCTGGCCCCTGGGGGGGTGGCCCAGGAGGGGAAGGGCTGGCCAGTGGAGGCTCCCCCGCGAGGCCTGGGGGTGGGCGAGGGGGTCGGAGCGTGGGGTGGCCAGCGCCACTCACCGATGGGCCAGAGCCGGGTGGGCGCCGGGGTGCGGCGGAGCCGGAACTTCACCAGACAGGAGTTCACCACGATGCTGTCGTTGGGGTTCAGGTTGCGGGTGCTGACGATGCCGGGCGCGCAGTAGCCCCGCATCAGCAGGTAGTTGGTGTGGGAGGCCTGGCGGGCTTTCACCTCGATGGCCCGGTGCTTGCCCCCAGAGCCCTCGTCCAGGTCTTCCTCTTCGTCGTCATCCTCGTCCAAGCCCCCGTCCTTCCCCAGGCTGGGAGAGGAAAACGGACCTAGGGGACCGCGCACGAGCCGGGGCGTGGCCACTCCCCCAGGCCGTGAGAGGAAGCCCCCGGTGCCGGAGCCCCGGCTGTGCTCAGAGCAGCGTGTGTGCCCCACCTGTTTACACGCCAGCCCTTACCTCTTAATGACCTCGTTCTCCACCATGGAGCTGTCCACCACCACGATCTGCTCCGGGATCCGGACGTCCACGGAAATGAGGCCCAGAGAGAAGAGGGTCAGGGCGGCCACACAGTGTCCTCCGGGGCCGTCCAGAGAAAATGCCACCATGTCGGGTGCAGGCTCATTATTATCCTGGTCTTTGAAGGAAAAATTATCAGGCTGGTCCAACTTGCCGGCGGCCAGGATTTTCTTGAAAAACTGGAACGATTCTGTGCAGACGGTGCTTGGAAATCGCCAAGTAAAAATCCTGTGCGGACGAAACGGAGGTAAGGTCCAAACTGAGGACGGGATGTTGGAGGGCTTCGTGTGGATGCGCTATGGGCGCTTCAGACCCTCGCCAAAACTGGCCACGCCAGCCCCCCGCAAAGCCCTCTTTTCCGCCTCTGTGAGGGCGCCGCGTTCCAATCCCCTCTGCATGTGCCTTCCCTGCTCACCGGACACCCGCACGGAGGGGCCGTGGCCTTTCATCTAACCCGCGACTCCACGCCTCGCGGCCTTTCGCTATGAACAGGCGCCGAATTGGGGAAGGTGGATGCACGTTTTGTTAACGGTAACCTTTACGCGAGGCAAGCCCTGAACCACGGGGAGGTGAGAGGACACGAGTGTGTCCGTCTCGCTGTCTCCATGAGGCGGCTGCACAGTCAAGGCCTGGTCTCTGTCCACAAGTGTGCCTTCCCATATCGCTGTAATGCGGGCCCAGGTCCCAGGGAGGAACCCAGAGGTCTTCCTGATGTGAACACCACCCCTTGGCTCACAGACTAGAATGCTGCAGGGGAAAAACGGTCGAGAAGTGGCCTTGCTGGACCTGGACCCATGTCTCTTGCCTCTGAAGCCACGGCTCTTTTTACTGCAGCAGGCAGCATCCCAGGAAGGCAAAGGACGCAGAAGGTCACTCGGGAGGGGCCTTCAAGAAAGGCGTGAGCGTCTGGAGTTACGGGCAAAGGGATGCCTAAGAAAACCCAACCCCCCCCATTTTGCTGCTCTTCTGTTTCTGATGACCTCAGTGCAGATCTGAGGACGGACAAGGAGAACAGCCTGCAGAAGAGGAGGGCTGCCAAGGAGAGGAGACCCCTGGGACTATTCCACAGATTTCCTCTCCATGTGTGTGGTTAAGGAGGCCAGTGGCACAAAATGCGGAGCGGGTGACCAAGACCAGCCACACCGGCCGCGGACCACGCTGTGAGGAGTGCTCCTGTCAGGAGGCGCTCCGGAAGGTGACTCACAGCATCCCAAACCACCACTCAGGTGGCTGGTGTGCTGCAAACGGAGTCTGGAAAATATGGGATGGCTTCAAGATGAAGCCCGGAGCAGCTGTGAGCTGTGAGAATGACCGATTAGGCCCGACCACGAGGCTGTGCCGTGAGTCGAATTGTTACGTTAGAAACTCATTTTGGTAAATGTCCCAGAACAAACCATTGCGAGCACTGCCCTTATCCCCACAGCAGGTGGCACAGGCGCAGAGAAGGAAACTCGTTCCAGAAGCTGCACCCTGCACTTGCGGCCACGGGAGGGCCCCATGCCCCCTGGAGGTGACGCG